TTGGTAGGAAGAAGTTTTACATCTGTTCAGATGTTTCACACGCACACCCGGCCGGAACCGGGCCAACCCTGAAAGGCAAGAGGAAGAAAAAAGCGGACACCAACGACAGGCCAACGGACAAAACAGCGCAGGGGGAACAAACGAACCTCCAAAACCAACTTACACGGAGAAACGGACCTAACCAGCACAGAGCACACACCTAAACCCCACGACGCATTACAGAGGGGCACGGGGGATAATTAGGGACCAAATGGGGAACTAGTTGATGAAGAGAAGTGAAACAACAAAAATTAACAGGATTCAGTTCCTAGAAACAAAGTCGTGCGGTACTCCCTCGAAGGGACGGTAGTCGGTCACACCCACAAGTGGGCATTAAACGGCTGTTCAAGTTCATACGAATTGGGTGCACAATATGTTCAACCTCACTAGAGAACCATCAAAAGAAAGTGGGCCACACCTGAAAGCATGTAGCCTCAAGCCTTCCATGATCCATGAATGCCATGTTGTCGACACCATTCCTGTCTTGTGATAAAAACCATGCAGTTTCAGGCTGCTCCGTACAGTTTCACTTGAGCAAAGGTGGATTTGCCGAGGTATCTCAAGGATGGCAGGGGCAGCAGGATCTCGAGAAAATGGCGCAGAACCGAATGGCCGACTGTTTCACTTTACGTAGACGAATTACTAAATTAAAAGTGTAAATTCAGAGTTCGGTTCGTCCACATTCTCCCAAACGGGCTCCCTCAAATGGGTCCATGGCACCATGTCGGAGCATGTCGGAGCCACCATGGAAATCACACTAGAAAAGAATTGGACCATTGAAGTGTTCCGTCGGGTCCTGATTCCAAAACGTGCAATTAAACAAGATTATTGATGTAAGGTTGTGGTTCTTGGGTTAGCCACATCCCATGTCCAGAAATTGAAACGCTTTGCAGGTACGTCGGGATGATCAGTCCCGATATCACAATCTCAAACAACCGTCTTCGTTGGGCAGTGGATGGAATGAAATTCACTGCCCCCCCCCCGCAACCAATGACAATACCAGTTGGGAAGAAGTTTTACATCTGTTCAGGTGTTTCACACGCACACCCGGCCGGAACCGGGCCAACCCTGAAAGGCAAGAGAAAGAAAAAAGCGGACACCAACGATGGGCCAACGGACGAAACAGCGCAGAGGGGGGAGGGGAACAAACGAACCCCCAAAACCATCCAAAACCAACTTACGCGGAGAAACGGACCTAACCAGCACAGAGCACACACCTAAACCCACGACGCATTACAGAGGGGCACGGGGGATAATTAGGGACCAAATGGGGAACTAGTTGATGAAGAGAAGTGAAACAACAAAAATTAACAGGGTTCAGTTCCTAGAAACAAAGTCGTGCGGTACTCCCTCGAAGGGACGGTAGTCGGTCACACCCACAAGTGGGCATTAAACGGCTGTTCAAGTTCATACGAATTGGGTGCACAATATGTTCAACCTCACTAGAGAACCATCAAAAGAAAGTGGGCCACACCTGAAAGCATGTAGCCTCAAGCCTTCCATGATCCATGAATGCCATGTTGTCGACACCATTCCTGTCTTGTGATAAAAACCATGCAGTTTCAGGCTGCTCCGTACAGCTTCACTTGAGCAAAGGTGGATTTGCCGAGGTATCTCAGGGACGGCAGGGGCAGCAGGATCTCGAGAATCTGGCGCAGAACCGAATGGCCGACTGTTTCACTTTACGTAGACGAATTACTAAATTAAAAGTGTAAATTCAGAGTTCGGTTCGTCCACATTCTCCCAAACGGGCTCCCTCAAATGGGTCCGTGGCACCGGAGCCACCAAGGATATCACACTAGAAAAGAAGTGGATCATTGAAGTGATCCGTCGGGAACTGAATCCCAAAACGTGGTTCTTGGGTTAGCATTGGGTTAGCCACATCCCATGTCCACGCTTTGTAGGTACGTCGGGGTGATCAGTCCCGATATGACAATCTCAAATCAGCGTCTTCGTTGGGCAGTGAATGGAATGAGATTCACTGCCCGACCGCGTCTAATGACAATACCAGTTAGGAAGAAGCTTTGCATCTGTTCAGATGTTTCACACACACATACACACATACATTACGTTACATTCAGTTTTCATTCAACTTTCATTACGTGTTACAACGATATGAAATTTGTTTTGCATTATATACATCCTACATCCATTATGTATAGTTCACATCCATCGGGCACATTTTCATGCCATGGCCAGGATCGCGTGGAGGGCGAAGGCCTGATTCTCTGTGGCCACAGTTTGGGTGGCGCAGTGGCAGCCCGTGCTGCACAGGAAGCGCTCAAGATGAAGCCGCCTCTGCCAGTGCCACTTGGCCAGAAATTGGCCTGAAGTTGGCCTGAAATGCCAGCAGTTCATGAGGGATATTTGCTGTAAAGATGCTGATGATGGAAAATGATGGAAGATCATGAAAATGAATGGAGATGGACCTGAGATGATGTGGACTATTAAAGCTGTTTGGATCAACATTGGGATAAAAGTCCTCATGGTCGCCGATGACTGCCTCAGCTTGGACCGAGGCGAACCGTGGTGCTTCTTGAATCCGTTGAGGGTACAGCAACGGAAGGTTTGTCTCGCAGCATTGCTTGGATGCAGGCAGCTGGGACTGGGTGGTAATGGCTGGTACTGTATCTTGCTGATAAATTCTGATGGTATCAATCATGCTGCACACAGGCAAGGCCACAGAGCTTTGGGAGCTTGGAGGCCAGATTCTGATGCATTGGATGCTTTGTGTATCTATGGGCATATTCAATTCTGTACACATTTGTAACGTATGTTGATGTATGTGTACTAAAGTTTTGTGATATTCATGGATGTTTCTTTCTCCGGCAATCTTGACAGAGATGGTGTGATGGACAGCATGTTTGCATCATTCGCTGGATCTTCTTTGGTGCCAGGACGCCATTGCATGGTCCCTTTCATCTGGGATGCTGACGAATCCTCAATCAGCTCGAGAAAACGTTCCTCCACGTTTGGTGCATCACGAAGAGGCATGCCCTCTGGGAAATCAGACATGGCACTGGAAAATCATCCATTTAAGATCTACAGAATCTATAGCAATACCTTCATTCACCAGCTAGTTCCCATTGCCATGTTTGACCTACAGAAAGGTAGGGAATGGTGGAATTGGTCATGGCCAGGCAGATGGCAAAGAGTCATGGTCCTGGAGAACAGATGTGTCCAAGGCCACGATGGTAGCTTAGCCACCCAATCAGATGCTGGCTGCTGCTATCCTACTGCCATTCTATTGCTTTGCAATTTCTATCAATTTCTGGTTGCCATCTTTTCTATGCTGTGATCTACTGGTTTAGATGTTCGACTTGCCGCTCCTTTCGCATGTGATTCCCCCAACTGCTGCATTTTGATCTGAGCCAACAAGAGTTGCCAGGCGACTTCGTGCTTGTCACATTGCTTTGAGGGTCTAAGTGAACTTTTCGTGGCTTTACCTTTGCCAAAGCTGCTGGTCGTTGGAGCAGTGGACCGTATGGATGCGACGTTAGAAGCAGCCCATATGCAAGGGCGCTTCAGACTAGACGCTTGTTCTGCCATAGATGCTCCATGTTTTTTTTTTCATTATTTTGACGTTGGATCTGTTTGGAATGGGTTTAAATCTTGATGAGTCATATTAACCAGCATTTTTTCGTTGCCCCAGGACGTTGTACCTCATCCTGGTCACTACATTCACGAAGATCGGCCTGAGGAAGTGGCAGAGGCATGCATGCTGCATTGTCAGAGGCATGAACCATGGTTTTACCCTTTGGTGCACTAATAGCCTACTATAGAAAATCACCATTGTTGATCGGTAAATCAACTATCAATGGCCATATGCACAGATGTTTATATAATTTTATCACCTTTTTGGGAAGTTTCAAACGGGTGTGTTTTATAGGGGGATTGGATAGGTAGGAGAGACTAGGATCATCCCAGGTATGGCTCATGGATAGATCAGGGTTTGGCCATTCATGTGGATGATGGCAAAAACGGTGACTGTGTCAATATGTTACATAATATTACAATATATTACATAATATGACTTGGCAGGCTCGGCCTTTTGACTTTGCAATGATAGATATGATATGATATGATAGGATTTGAGACTTCAGCTTCCATCTTCTGGCGCTTCTTTGTCCCGTCTTCAATGACGAAGTCTACCATTTTGTCAAATTTATGTAGCCTAGGGATGCGTCATGGAAAAAGCTCATGTGATGACTTCCAAATGTCCATCCCCACAGGCAATTGCCAAGTTCCTTTTGCAGCTCAAGCAGCAGGACACCCGGGTTGTGTGCAACACTTTCAGGCAACGGAAGATAATTGATGTCCATGCCAAACAATGGGATGAGAATCCCAAGGACCCGGACAGATATGTTTATGGTGCAAGCCATTCAAACCACCAGCGAGGGATGGGTCAACCATGGTCAACCTATGACCTCACTTCTTGGGGCAATGTCAACTGAGTTGACACACGTGACACACGTGACACACGCACGCAAAGACTGTGGATGCCTTTTGGTAGTTTTGTTGCATGTTGCAGGCCTACAGGGGTTTGATTCGGGTGGTCTGGTGATTCTCGAACAGGAGGCAGCATATGCAAAGATCATGGAAGGCCGTGTCAGGATGCCAAGTATTTGCACCCCTGGTTTCATGCTCCAACGGTCTCCAACGTGAACGCCCTGGTTGTGGTGCTGAGGCATCTCCCTCTTCCTCTCGATCGCCAAGCGCCAATCCCAAGCGACAACGGGTGAGCTGACCAATGCGGAAGGGATAAGCCCGACTGAAGAACCCATAGGTAAATGGATGCTTGAATGAGTTTGTCCAGCAATGGGGCGGGCCCCAAAATTGTCATGTGACCATGGAATATGATGATATATTGAATCAGCAGTTTGATGCATTTTGGATTTGGGGCGCCCTAGTTTTGGACAAACCCAACTGGTATACCAAACCCACCGCAATGGTTGAAGAAATGTTCAGCCATGGTGAGCGACAGAAGTCTCACTATTAGGCAGGTGTGAGGTGTGAAGTTCACCTGCTGGTGTGGTGTGGGAAAAAGTCGCCAAACATGCAAAAGCCAACCATTTTGAGTACTTTTGAGTCCACTGGGGTGGTCATTTGCACTAGGGATTCCAGTGAATGTTTGTTGAATTTGTACTGGCGCCACGGTATACGATAATGTGAGCAAGCGCATGCCGCTGCCATTTCCCTACGTGGCAGGGGTTCACATAAAATCACCTGGCAGAGCTTTCATATCTATAAGTTCAAACTACTCACACAGAGCCCAAACAGTTTCCAAACACGTGATTGGAGTGTGGTGGGTTCCAGGTTTAGACTCACTTTGGACATGTCTACATGACATAACTTAATCTACATAGCACGCTGGCATGTAGCATACGGTGGTACCAGTCCTGTACCAAGCCCAAAGACCTGGAAACATCGCCGAAGCTGGGAATTAAGACGCCATAAGACGCCTTTTCATGCCTTTTCTTTAAATTTGTATGAGGGTTAGCTGGTTAGCCTGAATGCATAGCCATGGATGCCATGGATCAAAGGATGTTGAAGGAGGAGGTGGTACGCCTCAGATCTGAATATGATTCGTTGAAAGCAGCTGCAGATGAAGAGCAGGCAGCTGATGAGATTCTCCTGCACGATGCTCAGCTGGAGCGGCTTCGTTTGCGTACCTTGCTGGATCGATATGTGGAACGTCCACCAAAGGTGGAAGAGTTAGCTGAGAGATACGAATCTGAGATCGACGAACTCTCTGAAGAGCTGCGGCAGTTGCAGGAAGAGAACGCTTTGTTGGCATATCACGAGTCTAGTCGTGCCGAACAGTTCGACCATGAGGACGCTACACCATCCACCAGCCGAAGCCACCGATCGCCCTCCACCCGATCACCACGCGTGAACACGCGTCGCACGGCGCGTCAGGTCCATCTTCAAGCAAAAGAGACACGGCAGTGCGAAGCGAAGCTGACGTCTTTGAGGAGGCGGACACGTGTGAATGAATGGTATTTGTCACAGTTGAAGGGTCAGCTACAGGAAACCGCCAAGGTGATGCAAAACCGCGAGCATCTGGCTGGTGGTTTCAAAATGTTTCAAATATTTCTGTTTTTTTTTGGTGGTGTGTGTGTGTGATTGTTTTCAACTTGCGACATGTTTCAACCGTGGTGTGCCTGTGATGACATATCCTCAATTCAATTGATATCAATTACTTACAATTGTAATCATAATAAGTATATGCAAATCTGAATAAATATATAAACAGCGTTATATTATTTTATATTTATATAATTATATAGATATATATATATATGTGTGTGTGTATGTGTGTGTAACTGTTATAGATATGATTATAGGTTTAAATAGTTTATAATGATCTATCGTGGAATATCATGCTATAGTTAGCATCATCGATCATCGGGAGGGTTTAGGGCTCAGCCCCCAGGCATCGTCTACAAGAGTTGCGGCTTCGTTTCGACCAGGCAGGTGAAGAACGCCAGCGCTTAGCCGAAGAGCACGTGCGAACGCAGCAGATGTTGGATACGGAACGCCAGGAGCCCGGGAGTTTCCTTGAAAATTTGCCCATAAAGGAATGACCATCAGGGATAATATTTGTGGTTTTATATCAAAGGTATATGGGGATACCACCGTGGTTGAAATGAATAGATATAGTGATATAGTACATACCCTATAAAGGGATGGCACCCATTCCATTTTAATCCAGCAATTGGCCGGGTATCCTATAAGGGAAATGGTAGTGGACCCCTGTTTATCCAAAGAATAGGATAGAAAAAAATAACTATAACCGATACTGAGATCAACCTATTGGTTGCCTAAGATTGAAAATAATGATGCACATATGATTATCCATGAGCATGGTAGAAAACAAATCGATAAATGAAATAGCTAATGGTAAGATGACACCCATTTAATCAACCAATTGGTTATACCTCATAGGTGGAATAATGCACATATGCTTACCCACGAGCATGATATAGTAAATAATCAAAGGTAAGATGATATCCATTTAATCAACCCACTGGCTACCTCATAGGGGAAATAATAATCCATGAGCATGGTAGAAAACAGATAAATACATTAACAAACCAATGGTAAGATGATACCCATTTAATCAACCAATTGGTTACTTCATAGGGGAAATAATAAGGTATCTATAATACAATTCAATACCACCATATATTAAATTTGAAAGACCCAAGAATCCATTTCCACAGACCCCAGATCAATTGCAATACCTTACATGCTGCTTTTCCATAGGAAACTGTTAAATTACGGAGAGTAATTATATTAAGCAAAGCAAAAAATATCAAAAAATATATGTAACACACACATACATTTCATTGCATTTGCATTTGCATTTGCATTCGCATTACATTGCATTCCATATTTCAAGAGTATGACTTCAGTTTCTTTGAACATGGGTATGCAATGGGACGCCCCATTCTACAGCCATGCTGAGGAAGACATGTTTGCTAAAGCCTGGGGGACACCCGATGGACACCCCTGATTTTCAGACAATTGGGTGACCGTAGCCATATTTCAATGGATTGGATTAAGGGAAAATATACAGGAAATCCCCATATTTAATGGGAAAATCTATGGTTTCCTGTAAATTGTCCCTTAATCCAATCCATTGAATATTGGGAAATCTCTTGGGAAATCTCTTGGGAACGCCTCGCTCAGGAACTGGTGCAGCTCCATCAGGAAGCCTTGAGCCTTCGAGAGGCGTGTTACCTGCCAGCGCAGCTCAAGAAGAAGAGCAGCATGCTCACCAAATTCCTGGATCAGGATGGCCGGATACAAAATACATAGTTTCACCATGTTGTACCATGGTTTAGCCTTCAATTGAATGGTGATGAAATTCCGACATAAGGGAACAGAGAGGCTCAGGGATGGTCAGAGATCATGCACTTCATAAATTTTGCTCTGGACATTTTTTTGACGGTTTGTTGCTACATGTTGCTTCCGATACTGTGTTGGATTTATGCAGATCTATGACATGCTGATTAGAAGTAAGAGGTGCAACACAAAACGCCACTTCTCCAGATACCACTGATTCGTTTTTGGTGATTTCTTTGCATGCCTTGCTTTGGAATATAACAATGCCTTAAGGAGGGTGGGAGGCTGAAGTTGGAGAAGCACTTGCGCGGACGTGAAGTGGTCGCAAAGCTGTATCGCAGCGTGGCACAACAGGCACCGGAATGTCAAGCGATAGCCGGCCGTGTCAAGACAGACATGGATGCAGCCTTTGCGAACCTTCAGCAACTCCAAGCGCAGCATCAGCGCCAGCTCCAACAACTACATTTGAATTTGGCAAGAAACGCGTTTTCACCCAGATGAAGAGAGCATCGGCATACCTGCCACCACGCAAGAAGGACAAACGATCGCCAGTGATGCAAGGCACATGCCCATGCGACAAAGCAAGACGTTTTTCGATTGTGGTATACAATGCCAAAAATATCCACAAATCTGTCTTTGTGATTGCAGGACATTAGGATTTGTCATGCGACACAGCTGGAGTGGTGCAGTTGTTTTGCTTGATTCCACTGTCACTTGAAGTCGTTAGACCACGCGCTTCAGCGCAAAAGGTAACAAGAGCAAACTGGGAACACAAAGTAGAAACGAAACGCTTGCAGTCTGAAATCAGGAGCAATATTGCTTAATATTCAGTCTGAGAGGTGTATTTGATGCAGCTGTAGCATTGACATGCGAATTCTACCCACTTCTGTAGTCAAGAAAAGTTGCTCAGCGAGGCTTTAGTGGTTCCTTGATCTCAAAATGCCAGCAAGTACATCCATCATCATATATTACTTGATTTGGTCTGAAAGTACTCCGAAAGCTATGGAGCCCACTGCTCTTGGAGACAGTGCCCGTAATCAATTATCCGTAGCCATTTTGGCTCAAGTGACCCTTCGGCTCAACAGTACCTTTGACAGGCACGAGCTTATCGTCTTCCTTTGCCTGGCCAGCCATGGCCGTGCCACTGACACTGTCCATTCGCTCGCTCAAAAATGATCCCTTTGATGTGGACGTTCTCAACACGAACACGGTGAGTGATCTGAGACAGAGGCTGTTTGAGCGATTGGGTTTGGACCCTGCCGAGTGGCACTTGAAACTGACCTATGATCTCACGGTCTTGGACAATCCCACTGCGACACTCAGTGCGTACGATCTGAAGACAGGATGCTGCTTGACGACGGTGAAGGAGCGTCCTGGCCCCATCGTCCTCCATAACACCATCAACGATTCCCAAAAAGAAACCGACAGCTCTCACCTGCGCCCTGCGGCCAGGTCCAAGGAGCTTGTGGGTACCGTGAACAGCATCGGAGTTTCTGCCAGAACCTTCCGAGACCAGGAGCACGGATACGCGAAGTCGACTGTGTTTCTGACCCTCATGTGTGGGGAGGAAGTGCGTGTGCGCCAAAACATCTGGGGGACCTACAGGGGCAAAGACTACAAGCACGGCAAGCACCCACCAGCGATCAGCTATACTGACCGTGACGACATCGTCTCGCAGGCTAAGCCAGGTTGTTTCTACCAGATGGAGTACGAGGTGGGTCATGGAGGTGGGCACAGGATCATCGTGGAAGACTGGGTCGTGAAGATATCCTACTTGAGTTCTTCTTGCACCGAACCCAGCGATGTGGTGGACTTTCGAGTATGAGTAGTATGACTAGCAGTCATGCTATGAAGACGAGTTTTGCTTTGATGCCGGTTTGTTCATTTGACCCCGCGTGTGCAGTGCACTGTGCGCGGCCACAGACCAAAGATTGTACAGCTATGTAAATGTGTCGCATACATAGTGGGGAAAAAAAGGGCAGCAAGGGCGTGTACCCTTTTGAGCCGGAAAGTGAGAAAGAAAGTAATCAATCATATCAATAGTTAGGGGTTAGTCTAATTTGGGGTTGACAAGACCTGAATTCAGTTGATTTTCTTCACAGTTCCTATTTGTTTGTAATACAATGAACAGATTTTTAGGCCCCAAAGTGCCAATTGTTTATCCAATGGATGACTTGGAGACAGATGCTCCCATGGAAAATATACAATCATTTATCATCATTTACCCCAAAGAGCACCCAAATGCAGGTCAACAACGGTAATTGACGGAAATACACCATATTAATCCATTAGTATACCAGACATGGGTCATATGGGAATTGATTATTGATGAACCACAAAGAGCCACGAGAAAAAGTTCTGTGAGTGTTTTGCAGAGTGCGTGAAGGCATCAAAGCAGACACAGCTGGTAGCAATCCTTTGCCACATGACCTGCTTGAAGCCGGTGAACTGATGAGCATGATGGATGGTAGCTATTGATTTCTAACAATTGTACTGAATGTACTGAATGTACTGAATCAGTCTGATCACTGATCACTAAAGACATGTTAAGGCTCTGTTAAGGTATTGATTGTGGGTGTTTTTTCCAGTGCTCGGCAGATAGCACGATGCACCCTGCTTCCAAACAAGATTTACTAGACTCCACTTCATGTTTTTAGAAAGAAAATGGCCCGTCGCTTTTACCAGACTCCACTTCATGTTTTTTCCCTTGCCCTCTCCCCTTCCTTTTTTCTTCGGTTCTTTTCTTGCTCACCTACCTTTCGTGTTCCCCCTCTCAAATATCCTTATATTACCCGACCGGAACTTAGAACCTCAGTTTGGAAATTTGCCATACCCCGAAAAAGTACCCGGAACTACCCGCTCAGCTTTTGGTAAAATTGATAAAAATTATGATATTTTTACGTTTTGCGAAACTGTTCACGGTAATCAGAACTTAGAACCACTACCAAAAATGGTGCTCGGAGAGCCAAAAATGACTACCCTCTCGCAGTTTTTTACCCGAAAAGTACCCGTAAAACTAGCTGAGTAATATGATGTGTTATTTGATGGATTGAACGAAAGATTCTACCTAAAATCATCATAAATGGGTGGTACATGTCACTGTATAAAGCATCCCCAAATGATAGGTTTATTCTTGGGTTTGCCATGGTTTGCCACATGAATGTGCTTGTTTGCTACATATGCTTGTTCACATTAAATCCGATTGGTGGTTGAATCCCATTATAATTTTGGGGAACTGCTTGGAATTATATAATAATATATAATATACAAGTCTATATTATTATTATATATATGTAAGGTGCATTTGGAAATATAGAAATTTGGAACAATTTCATACAATTTCTATATATTAGAATAAAGGGTAAGATATGGAAATTTAAAGTTACCCCTAAAAACAATGTTTTCTTTGAAAAGGGTTTGAATAAACATACATATATATATACATATATACATATATACATATATACATATATACATATATACATATATACATATATACATATATACATATATACATATATATATATTTATTTATTTATCGCTTGTTTTATAGAAATAGGGAGCTGAAATAAAGCACAAAATAAATGTTTGGTGGGAAAACATTACATTATACATATCCATTGGTATTTTAGGAACTAAATGAAATCCTATTGACAATTGAGCTACCCATTGGTTGGAAATAATTGACATATATACATATCACCATATATATATATTTCTTAATTCTTGGAATCTAAAAAAGAGAAAATTGATTAGACATGTTTTTTTCTCAATTCCTGGAGTCCAAAAAATGGGGAAAAATAATTAGTTTTGGTATTGACATGTTTTTTGCTTAATTCCTACAATCTAAAAAATGGAGAAAATTAATTAGTTTTGGTATTAATATGTTTTTTTCTTAATTCTTGGACTCTAAAAAATTGTAAAAATTAATTAGTTTTGGTATTGACGGAATGAAACTAAGAACTATGTATTACCCTCCAAATGTAGTAATATATATATATACATATTATATATATATATTATCGAAGGAAGTTTAGAAGTGAAACTTCCGACAATATGGACAGTTGAAAAGCAGAGGTGAGAAGAGTCAGAAGAGACAAGATCAGAAGAAAGAAGATGTAGATGCGCGAAAAGGTGGGAAAATCGCGATTCACTGTGTTTTTCCAATGATTTGGGGCTCCGGAGGGTCGAAAAGTAGGCTCGCTAAAGCGGCGGGTGCGGAGCCAGCTGGTCAGATGAGACATGAAAAAGTGCACGCCGTTGTGGCGCGAAGCACATTTCCAAGTCAAAATGGACAAAACACTCCAGGAGCGGACCACTTTGGAAGTTGCGATGTCGAAAAAGTGCACGCCGTTGTGGCGCGAAGCACATTTGGAAGGCAAAATGTACAAAACGCACCAATGTCGGACCACTTTTGGAAGTTACGATGTCGAAAAAGTGCACCTCGTTGTGGCGCGAAGCACATTTGGAAGGCAAAATGTACAAAACACACCAATGTCGGACCACTTTTGGAAGTTGCGATGTCGAAAAAGTGCACGCCGTTGTGGCGCGAAGCACATTTCCAAGGCAAAATGTACAAAACACACCAATGTCGGACCACTTTCGGAAGTTCCGATGTCGAAAAAGTGCACGCCGTTGTGGCGCGAAGCACATTTCCAAGTCAAAATGCACAAAACACACCATGTTCGGACCACTTTTGGAGGTTCAGATGTCGAAAAAGTGTCGAAAAAGTGCACGCCGTTGTGGCGCGAAGCACATTTCGAAGTGAAAAGTGTAAAAAATTGAGGGTTTTGAGCCTTTTTTGACGTAAAGATGTCGAAAAAATACACACTGATTAACTTAACTAACTTAACTAACTTCACTAACTTAACTACCCTAACTTCGACGACAACAGCAATAACGACAACAACAACAACAACAACACCAACCACAACAACTACAACTACGACAACTACAACTACTACAACTACAACTACACAACAACTACAACTAGAACTACAACTACATTAACAGCAACAACAGCAACAGCAACAACATTAACAACAACAACTACAACTACAATTACACAACAACTACAACTACTACAACTACAACTATAACAATAATAACACTAACAACAACACCAACAATAACAACAACTGCAAGTGCAACTATAACTACAACTATAATTACAACAACAACAACTACTACTACTATTATAACTACACTACACAACAACTACAACCACCCAACAACTACAGCTACAACTACTACAACTACAACTAATGACTGCAATTACACTACACTAATTACATTACACCACAA